CCCTGTAATGACGAAACCAGCATCCTTATCTCAAATGACCTTGAAAAACTATCAAAGAGCAGATAAAATGTGATGTTTTGGATCCACTATGCTAGACTTTGTTAATCAAAGTAAGGGTGTTTTGAGAACAACAGAAATTTACATAAGTTCGCAAGGAGTAAAACTTTTCCACCTAAAACATTCATTTTAGCAATAACTGCGAAGAATGGAATTTTGCAATAATAACCAATAATAACCAATGTGTTTCAACACACATTTAATTTTGAATAAAAAATTTTGCGCATGTTTTCCGCTTAATTCGACGCAATTCCTAATGTTACAGATGTGCATAGTAGTTCAATATGCAATTTGCTAAAAAGCACATATTCATTTTTCAATTTGCTCAGTTTTGGACTGATCAAATCATAAATTTTGGAACATAGTCTCCCCAGATACACTAATATTTGGTATCATCATAAGGTTGATTTTAATAGGCTTATTCATCAGCTTAAATAATCATTTATTATGATAGAACTTTAAAAAAAAGTGTAGACATGCTCATTAGCAGGACGACAAAGAATTAAGCAAATCTTGTTATAAAGTTTCCAGGACACTACTAAATCGCCAAAATGAGTGCTGAGATGTTGAATGTGAAGTCTGTGAACATGGGATAATAATTTTTCTACAATTCTAATGATCAAAGGCTTTCGCATTTTGGAAGAAAATTAATTGATGAAAGATCGGCTGTGAAACTTAGTAGAAAAAGTATTTACATGTTTGGATGCAGCTTGCAAATTACATATCCCTGTGATGTACGTAACAAGTTAGAAAAAGAAAACCTTATATTCACACTACATGAAGTTAAGATGAAATCATTCTAGCTCAAAGATAAACCAGAGGAATATCGCGAAAAGGTGATGAAATTTTACAAGCAACTACCTCAAGAGAAACAAGATGAGTGGAATAAGTTCTACAAGAAGCACTGTGTTGCATGGATTAAAGAGGTGCGTTTGAATTGAACTCAAAGGTGAAAATTCCTCAAAATCCAAGTTGTTTTTGGTAGAGAGTGATAGCCGCCAAAAGCCATGCATGCGCTTTGTAGCCAGACCAAGTAAAGCAGTGCTACCGCAATTACAGTAATACTCCGCCAGTCATAGAATCACAACCACTATATACGATCCGCCAATTAGAGCAAGGCCATTACCGTAATATGTTGAAATGCCACTGATCAAAGCACAACAACTAACCAAATTATGATACGGCTTGGCCATACAGGCTCTTAACCTACTACTATGCTTGGTAAAATATTGAATTATTTTTCCAAATCCTGCGCTGTAAATCACTATTGTAGAAATTCGCCAGGTAAACATGAATGACTACTGGGTCAGTAAATAAAAATAAATCCAAACATTTCAAATGGTGCTCCTCAAAACTTTGAGGTTTAGGTGGCTACGGAGGAAGAAAGGAACGAGCTTAAACAGCTGAAGGAAAAGAAGGACAAAGAAGCAATCCTAGCAAAGGTAAAGCCATGATTAAAATAGGAGTGAGTAGGTGAAAGAAAATCAGCTCCTATTTCAGGTCCGCTCTTATAGAGAACGTTTGCCAGAAGACAGGAGAAAGATGGTAGAGTCATTCGAGGTGTGTTAATGATTTCAGATATATTTTTTTATTTAAAGCAATTCCCCTGATTCTAGCAAGATTGCCTCAATCTATGGAAGGACGAAGTTACACGTAAGCGCCGCGATATCGATAAGAATTTCGAAGAATTTGCTCAATGGATGACAGATGAACAGAGGAAATCAGTAAGGAGGAGTTTT